GACAAGTAATTCGACATACGAGGAGAGGTTGACAACTCTGCTTTTGAGCAGAGACCAAACATCATAAGCAAAGATGTAAAACCAGATTTTCAAGGAACTAATGGATGGTAAGCTCCACAGAAGTATGAAAAATGCCAAAGGATAGTGGAAAGGATCGTGGAATCCATCAAGGAATATCGCTTCTTTCGACAACTGGAAAAGATCTTGTCTCGTATATTCACCTCAATAGAATTAATGATTATCTCGCTCCCCAGCGTCTCGCCTGAGCCCTCAGTATGGCTTTCACAAATATCAGAGACACTATGGATATGATCTTTTGCCTGTGGCAGACGCAGTAAAAGTGTATAGAGCGAAAATATATCAACATAGGCTGTGTTCTTTGATTTCATGAGTGGCTCAGAGAATTAATATCAGGGAATTCTCACTCCAACACTGTTTCCTAGTTCACCTAACAGTAACACTGTGGGGGGTGGGGGGTCTTTAAGATATTCGGGAAGACATCCACTCATACATTGGTCAAGACGCTGACCTGTTTAATGTGTCTCTTTCCGAGCAAAAACTCACACAGTCTTTTCGTGAAAGGGCTGTTTTGCTGATGATACGTGCTATTATGGCTCACAGTCCTGAAGACATATTGGGAACAGTGGACAGATTGCCAGAACTGATTTCCATTCTGCCTAAAGAATCGTATATTAAGAAAACAGAATGCTTACACCATTCTGGTGAAAGCTCGTCTATTAACCTACCGAACCAACAATCCTTGCATCGCCAGAAACTTCAGATACACTGCAGAGATTTCAAGCATTCCGGAAGCACCATGTCCGACAGTGCAAGATTAGACCGAAATCCGGTAAAAGTTTTTTTTAAGGGTATGAGTCGCTATGGAAGTACAGGCTTGTATCTAAAAGTGCCACGGTCTATAAGCTGTAGGTCCGTTCATCCCTCTTAATGGTGCTGAATCGAATGTTATGGTTTTAAATGCTGAAATAATATAAGCGACCACACTGTGTTGAAGCTTTAACTCAGCAAGATAAATGCTGTAAATTCAAGATTTCAAATCTTTTATTTTTTATGTTATGTTTCTGAATCAGAAAAAAATAATGATTATGACATTTAGCAAGTGCACAAGTGCGATTTTTATAGCTTATAATGTTGGCGAGCTATAAAACTATATTCACAGGGTTAATATCTTTATTCTTTGCCTTAATGATCTGCATTTCGACATACTACAGAATAATTAATCAATTTTCTGTGGGCTTCTCGAGTTTATTATTGTACTACCTGTGCCTGAAAAACCGGCGTGAGCAAACCGGACTATCAGACACATCTGGTGAAGGACCATCGCCACAAGGCCTGTCGTAATCCATGCCTGACCCCTTCCTTATCCCCTGTAGCGGTAGCGGTAACCGGCGTAGTAAGGATAGTAGTGGGGGTAACCGTGATAGTATCTGTTGTAGTAGTGAGGGCGTCCGTGATAGCTGTAATGAGGTTGAGGTTCGGGTTCCGATTCGACTGATCTCTTGTGGTGGCTGTGGTATGTGTGAGGGTAACCATAGTAGTTGTTGTAGCGGTAGTTATTGTAAGGGTAGCGATAGCCATGGTGGTATCCATAGCGAGGATGGCCATGGTGGACTACCTGGTAACTATAGCTGTTGGATGGATCAGGGTCAGCTGCTGGTTGAGGGTCAGCTTCCGGCATGGGGTCAGCTGAGCGTTTGGTGAGGCCGTGAACTTGAGTGCTGACGGAGTAGGTGCCGGCAGCCGGATGCTTGACATAGTGGTGGCGAGGAGAGTAGTGATGGTAGGGGTATTGGTGGTAGGAGTAGTGGTGGTAGGGGTAGCGGTGGTACTTGTGTGGCTCGGGATCGGCGTGTGTTACCACGGCCGCTGCCAAACACACCAGTAAGATTGCCTGGAAGATATACTTTTATAAATTTTAACTATCATAGGAATACATTTTGTTTTCTCTTGGAATGATGTTTCTTTTGCTCTATTCAGTAAATCAACGATGATTACTCAGTTTTGTCTGATCTGAGTCTACATGAACCAATCAAGCTGATACATTCCTATTTCAAAGATAGTAATAATTGTCTTTTAGAAATCTTTTTTTTTTTTAATAGAAATTATAAAGTGTGTAAGAAAAAAATATATATATGTATGTATATATAGACAGATAGATGTACAGATGTACAACCGCATACATATCTATGTTATATATGTGTGTGTGATTTCTGTCTGGGATTATGTATGTATATGTACGCTCAAGTGTTAATTAAGTTTTCGTTCGCTAACAACTATGGCGACTCACCGTAAGCTTCATGGCTGGACCTCTTCTTGGCTCACCGAGGACGCTGTGTCTGCTGACTGCTTGTGGAAGCCGCTTTATATACGGCTCCTGTGCGTGGCCTTGGACAAGCAGGGGTTCACGCACCCTGAGGGAACAGCCATTAAAACTGTATTTCCTCAGTCTGCCAAAGACGAGTGCTCTCTTTTGCTTATT